CTTTCAAATTCAAATTTGAAAAGCTTCTTTAACGTTGTCATAATGCAATGAAATTTGGCGTGGTGAAAGAATCGACAACTGTGAACAGATTTTTTTTTTCATACTTTACAGTGTAATATCACGCATTTAGCCGTAATAACACGTATAACTAACATAAAACTCGTTATTTTGAAAGGGGGGAACTGGAAAAGTTTTTTTTTGTTTTATTTCATTTATTTTTTTTAATGTTAACACTGCTCCATAAACCTTAAAAGGCAGTCGGAACATTTGGGGCTTCGCCCTGATACGAGCAGTCTCGTTTAGCTGTTTTTTTCACCGCTACTTTTGAATTCCAAGTTTTATTGTTATCACAGAACATTTAGCTTCGCTAAGTGAACAAACTAACTATTGTGAACAACTTTACTTTTCATATTTTGTTTCCTATTAACGTAGACCAATTATAGAAACCAATTATGTTCTCGACAAAAGTAGGCAAATGGTGCAAATAAAACGTAACAAACTTTCAGTTCCGAAGGTTGATAATTTTTTTTAAATATCCCAGTGGATTAAAAAATGTTTTTTTTTTACTTCCCTACTGTCAATTGTTCAGGTTTTTCTAGTTCTTTTACATTTTTTTATTGCTAAATGCGTAATTCTACGATGTAAGATAGAACTATCTGTTCACAATTGTTAGTTTGTTCATTATGCCTACAGTGCTGATTTAAATTATCCGGACAAAATGAACAAAACTTGATTTTTCGGCTCTTTTCAAGTCCCCCCACCTTTCAAAATACCGAGTTTTATGTTTGTTTTACGTGTTATTTCGGCTAAATGCGTGATGTTACGCTGTAAAGTATGAAGAACAAATTTGTTCAGAATTGTCGATTTGTTCACCACGCAAAATTTCATTGCTTTATGACAACGTTAAATAGACTTTTCAAAGTTGAATCTGAAAGGGGGGGGAACTGGAAAAGAGCCGTCAAATCTTATCCCAATTTGAGAAAAACGCGTTTGAAAATTCAGGTTTTGTTCGTTTTGTCCGCTTGTTTTAAATCAGCACTGTAATTTCATTGCATCAAAACAACGTTGAAGTAGTTTTTAAAAACTAAAAATGTAAGGGGTGAA